GTCCCCCCTTTCTCTGTTTCTCCCCTGTCACTCTGTCTCTCTGTCCCCCCTTTCTCTGTTTCTCCCCTGTCACTCTGTCTCTCTGTCCCTCTCTGCCTCTATCTCTCTGTTTTTCTCTTTCTGTGGCCACACTGCAGTCACCACCCAATTCCCTTGATTAAAAATAAACACCAAGGAATGTTTTCCGCGTTGAGAATGATGCAGACGTAAAACTGTCATGTTGCTCAGGACAGCATTGGCTCAGTTTCCCGTGCCTCGCCTTTGGAGCAGGAGGTTATAGATTCAGGCTCAGCGCCCGGGGACTTGGCTTCAGCTCTTACCAGGAACAGCCCTTTCATCGTTTTATTCACTGTTGGAGGAACATCCTTTGGGAGATAAATACAGGTCATTGCCCAGCCGTGCTGTTGGACAAGCACACACAGAGTAACGTTCAAAAGTCAGAGTTTTGGAAAAGCCCCCTTCCTTGCCCTTACACCCCCCCAGCCTCAAGCCATTAGCACCCTTAAGACTCAAATTTAAGTCGGATTATTTCACCTAGCATACTCTCATACAACAGGGCGTTACCAAGTATTTTGGAGATATGATTCCTTTAAGATTGTCTTGAGGGTCAGGAAGTCATGTGATACCAACTGACTCTCAGTTTCACACTTGCCTCTGAACAACACGTTCAACTGTCAGATCAGGGTTTAAGGCCTTTTTGTGCTACTGGGGAGTGCTGCATTGTCAGAGGCACTCAGTTTTTTTTTTAATGTGGGTGTCACTGACTAGGCCAGCATTTATTGCCCATCCCTAATTGCCCAGAAGGCAGTTAAGAGTCAACCACATTGCTGTGGGTCTGGAGTCACATGTAGGCCAGACCAGGTAAGGATGGTAGTTTCCTTCCCTAAAGGACATTAGTGAACCAGATGGGTTTTTCCCGACATCGGCAATAGATTCATGATCATCATTAGATTCTTAATTCCTGATATTTATTGAAATCGAATTCCACCATCTGCTGTGGCAGGTTTCGAACCTGGGTCCCCAGAAAATTATCTAAGTCTCAGGATTAACTGTCTAGCAATAATACCACTAGGCCATTGCCTCCCCTAGGTGATTAAGACAATAAACCAAGATTCTAGCCAGCTGCTTCAGGGCATGATTAACAATCCTGACACTGTTCAAAGATGAACGGAGCCTTCTCTTGGTGTTGGCAATAGACATCACTTTTATAAAAAAGCAAAGTAAAATTGATCAACTGCTTATCTTGTTTTTTGTGGAATCTTGCTGTGCACCAAATTACACAATAGTGTTTGCACTTTAGAATTCTGACAGTGTGGGAGCAGACTTGTCAAGTCTACACAACTCTTCCAAAGATCATTCCATCCCAGACTCCCCTCCCTACAATCCTGCCTTTCCCCATGGCTAACCCAACTAGCCTGCACACAATGGGGCAATTTAGCATGGCTGATCCACCTAACCTACATATCTTTGGACTGTGGGAGGAAACCAGAGCATCCAGAAGAAACCCACACAAACACAGGGAGAAACTCCACTCAGACAGTGGAATTGAGCCGAGAGTCCCCAGCCCTTTGAGGCAGCAATGCTGACCACTGAGCCACTGTGCCACTATCACATAAAGCACTCTTAACCGATAGATTCATAGTGGTTTGTTGTGTTTTCTGACCACTCAACTCATTGAACCCATTTTGACTCTCCATAACCAATGTAGCTCGTTCCCCCTCACTGGCCCTTTCCCTGCATTCCTTCAACTTTTTTCCCCTTCATATGGTTATCCAATACCTGTTTTTAACCACAATTGAATCTGCCTCCCCTCTGGAGGACAGGATTCCAGTGCTTCACAATGCTTTGGATGAAGAGATTTTCTCCTTCTCTCGGTCCAAAATGGTCCAGCCCTTACCCTCTCGTTTTCACCTCTCTGGCCCGCAGAGAAGCAGCCTCTTGGTATCTCTCCTGTTGAGCCTTCTTCTAGTGAGGATGACCTGCTGAAATTGGAGATGGAGCACTTTGGGAGGGCTGAGGTTGTGTTGCAGGACTGTAAGCTGTTCCACTCTCTCTAGGTCAAAAAGACAATGGAAGCAACTCTGCAGACGATACAGGACATGGTGACCATTGAAGATTATGATGTCTCAGAGTGTTTCCAGCACAGCCGGTCAACGGAGTCAGTCAAATCCACGGTGTCCGAAACTTACCTGAGCAAGCCCAGTATTGCAAAAAGACGAGCCAATCAGCAAGAAACCGAGCAGTTCTATTTCATGGTGCGTATCCTTGCCTGTTTGCGATGGTAAAGTAGGCTCCACGGAATGGTTCACACGGGGTGAACATTCATTGTCTCTGTTCTCAACAGAAACTCAAAGAGTACCTCGAGGGCAGCAACCTCATCATGAAGCTGCAGGCGAAGCATGACCTGTTACACCACACCCTCGGGGAAGGTAAGCTACCGTTGTCCAAGGCTATGGGTCTCTCTCTCTGTCTCATGTGCTTTCTCCTTTCATGCCGGTTGGAGTGAGATCAGCTCCCAACGTCTTCCCAAACCCCACCAGCGTCCACACGCCAAGGTACAGCAAGGCCCAATTTGTTGTTCTATTTTTAAAATGAGTCTTCCCAAAGTTGTAATGTTGCAGCCACACTGGGGCCGAGTGGCCTCCTTCCATGCCATAACACTGCTGTAATTCTCTAAGATTCTGCAAAAGGATGAGGTCGTTCAGCCCTCTGAGTCTATTCTACTTTTTGATTAGAACACAGCAGAATTGTCTTTCAACTCTATTTACAGCCTCAATTTCCATGCCCCTGGCCAGGAGATAGGTTTTAGTGAATATTTTAACCTAAACACTGCAGTGAGATTTCACCCTTAAGTCTTCATACATACTCAAGCGTTTGTTTGCTACAGTATTGGAACCACCCTCACCAATACCCTTCTAAACTCAATTTAAAAGCAAATATACCCTTTAAAAAAATCCACTTAATCTTGTTACTACACCGCATTTATGGCAGCTGGCTTTGTAAATGGTATTTATCCTGAAATCAAATCGTGGTGCCCTATTTTAATAAAATGCAGCTGAAAAGATATTTGCTAAGTGCTAACAAAGTGTGGAGCTGGATGAACACAGCAGGCCAGGCAGCATCAGAGGAACAGGAAAGCTGACGTTTCGGGTCAGGACCCTTC